TAACGTGCTTTTGTTTGACTGTGCTAATGACAGCTATATTTTGGGCTTCCATTCACTTACTTACACTTTGATTGTAACTTCGCGCGAATTCGGTTACCTTTTGTAACCAAGCTTGTATCCTGGCACGATCTCGGTATCCTTTCGATGCCACGAGATCGCCAGCAAATATAACTCGACTTGGTCCATTAATTGTCTTCTGTTATTCGGCTTCTCGGGGATTTTATGGAGTCATTTGGAACGAGCTTCTTACGCGTTCTGATTCATTTGGCACGTGTTTCTTGGTAGCGGTGTTCATAGGTAATCTCAACACGACACCACGCTACAATTGGTAATCCCAATTCGAATACAATTGGTGACCCGTATTTTGGAACACGCCTCATCCTCTGATCAAATCTTCCAAAGAAGCCAATTCGGTGAGTCTATGATTTATCTATCCACGTCTGTCGTATATTTTCATATTTTTAATATATCATATACGCGACATGACGGATAACGATAAGAATAGTATTAATATAATAGACTCACACGTATGTGTATCGAACCCTTGTCACTTTTTATTCACGTGATGATGAATTCCACGCTTTATTCGAGAAATGTTACCCTATTAACGATTCTCCTCGCTGACCCGGCTGCTTGGTACGGAATGCATACGCATAAGCATATCCGTCTACCACCCAGCACCAAATGGTTAAGTTGAACGGTTTCACTGCCAACTTAAAAGTGTTCTACGAGCACACGAAACCTTACCGCTCGTTCTTTTAGGGGTGAGAACGAGTTTAAAGGCAGATATCCAATGTTCCGCCACGGAACTTGTATACGGCACGACATTGCGTCTGCCCGGAGAATTCTTCACACCACGGAGCAGACCTAATTTCGGTAAATCAGACTACGTCCATCGACTGTCTGCATTTATGCGAACGCTGTCTCCGGTGTCAACTCGAATACAACATCGACAGGTCGCTCTCCCTCGAGAGTTATCTACCTGTTCACATGTTTTTGTACGAGTAGATTCGGTACGCAAACCTTTGCAACAACCTTACGAAGGCCCTTTTCACGTGATCGCTCGTCACGAAAAGACCTTCAAGGTTGATCGATATGGACGCGTCGAGATCGTCAGCATTGATCGTCTCAAACCAGCACACGTCGATGACAGTGCCCTATCTGACACCCTGAGATTCAATGCTAGACCTATCAAACCTAGCGGGATCCTTAAATCTTCTTCAGGTCCCACGCTAGATGCATGTGATACCTCATTCTCACGTCCTGGTCAACAGCACGCGTCATCTGCACCGTCTACGGACGAGACGACAGTCTCACGTCCAGATCAGCAGACCACGCCGCCTCTGACCTCGGATGAGATTGCAGGCTCACGCGACGCGAACGAGACTATCGTCTCACGTTCCGGTCGCCGAGTACGGTTACCCGTACGCTTCCTCGATTAGTCGCACAGTCGACAACCGATACGGTGTAGGAATATTCCTATGCTACTTGCATGCTACACTCCTCTCTTTTTTGATTTTCTTTTTGTTTCCTGAGCCCACGCCTTCGACCATCTCCGTTTGGTTCCGTCGACTTCAGTCAACTTTGGCGAAAGCTGGATTGGCCACCCACGCTCTTGTCAACGTACTCAGTCGATATATTGGTTTCGAATGCTCGGCATACGCTCGGTCTCGAACTTGGTTGTTATGGTCGCTTCTGGTCTTTTGGCTCAACGTGGTTTCGTCCTACGTCTGCAGCGTTTCTGGTGCGCGCCTCTACGAACGCCCTCTTCAGATTCTGGATACAAACCACTCTGGTGTAGCATGCCAACTCAAGCAATAAATGCAACACATCGCTCCTGGTACTGTTCTCCGAAAACGACCTTCGTTGGCAACTCGACGATCAACGATCGCTCTCCTGTGCGCCAATTCCTCCGTCCTACAATCGCTCGTCAGCCGATCAGTCCCACGATTTAAACCGACATTTATCGAAAGTGTTAACCCTTTCTAGCGGGGGGCTCCTGTAGTGACTCACGTTTATCACGAGAACACGACTGGTTTAATAAAAACAATTATTATTATAACCAACTGTACCAGTGTTTGTCTTAATGTGCTTTTGTTTAACTGTGCTAATTATAGCCATTTTGTGCTTCCATTACCTTCCATTATTGTTCCGCGGTTTTTGGTACTGTTCGCACGTACTCCTGTCTTCTGCTTCCACTTGTACCATTCCTTGGCACGATCTCGGTATTCGTTCAATACCACGAGATCGCCAACGAAATAAATCTGGTTACGATCGATCCTCGCCTTCTGATTTATCTGGCACGTGTTTCTGGGTAGCGGTGTTCACAGTTAATCTCAACTCGACACCACGCTACAAGACTTTGCACAAGTAATGTTGGAACACATTTGTGGCCAGTTTGGCAGTAAAACTTTCCACCTAATCTTCGACAGTTTTATATGGCCCTATTTACGGTATGGGAACATAGTATTCCCTCCATCGATTAAAAACGATAGGAATAAATTGAAGTGTGTTCAGATGTGAACAATCAAATCAGTTTAAGGACTTAAACTCAAACGTTACCAAAAAGCGCACCAGAAATCACTGGATCCTCACTCATTGGAGGATAGACTTCACAGATGTCACTAAAAAACTTATGGCATCCTAAAAACTCGTGAGTACTCTAGTAAATAATTACCCTAAAGATCCCACAAATATTCGGATTTTGACAACACCTTTAAACTCAACGCCTTGATAATCGAAATACAACAGCCCAGTTAGATCAGGAGTCAGAAGTGGTAGAGCTCGGAGACATGTTTAGCAAGTCATCGACATGTTGAATAGCGTTTGATCTAAACTGGCTAGTGGTTTTAAGGGATGCGTAGGAGCGGATGCGCAGTAGAACTAAGAAAGCCAGCATCAATGTCAAATACCTTCCGAAACATTTGTTTTGGGGCCTACTTATCGCTATCTTTACCAGTAGTCAAATTCTGGAGTTGGCTGACGGCGAAGTTTGTCCAAGTGACTTCTCATGAGTCATTCAAAAGGACAGTTTATATATTCTTCAGTACTCAGAATGGATTTTCGTTATAATTTACAAATATTTCCGTTTCGTTCGTTAAATATACCTACTTGCTTACCTGGAGGCATCAAAGGCTTTTGTACCATATTAGCCGCACAAATTAAGTGGGTGCGGTACTTTCCATAAGTAAGGATGTAGTTGGTCGCTATTGTAGTCAAGGCGAGGTAGTAGATACATGTTGTATTGCGTTTCTATTATTATTGTGTATTTTTTCAATGAAGTGCAGCTACAAATGACTACTAGTAATTATGTCGCGTATGTATATAGTAATCTTCACGAGGATATCTCAACGAACGTCTTTTCAATATTGATCTTATTGTTCAGTTGTTACTTCACTTATGTCGATATCAGCATTTTCACCATTTACTAAGGTTTGTATATTCCACTTGATAAGTAAAGGCTATGTCTGTTTTGCTTAAGAACGAGTTAAAAAGTAATCAGCTTCTGTGCCGTTATGGATACCGTCGTGTGATAGTTTCTCTGAATTTGTGATTTTTTTTGCCCGACCGCGGCCATATGATATGTCTGCAAAATCGCCTTGTTTTGTAAATACTCTTATCACATCATCGAAATTATTACTTCGGTGAAGCGAAGCGTATGATCAACAGTGAGCGTTCTCGTTAGAACTGTGCTCTTTGACCTAGAGATTGTGTTACCAAACCTGGTTAGTTGACGACTGTACTTTAGCTTTGCCTAGACACAATTATTTGCCATATCTTGTTCTAGGTTTTCATATAACCCGTATCATGCTAGTTTACCTGGTCCATGGCTTGCTATCAAAGTAGTTTCCTTGAAATACTCTAATTAACGATGCACAAGTGTTCGATCTTTCCAAATGTTAACTTGTTGAAAACTAATTTACTTGCCTATTTTATAAAAGGAAGAATCGAATTAGTCGATCCCGGACTACTCTGCCATGGATGTTTTGTCATCGCAACATTCGATCGGAAATCAAGTGATCAGATTTGGACGAACTTATTCCCTAAAGTAATTGCTTCTTCGCCTATCCGCATCGTAACGTGCAAATTTTTTAATCGAATTCATTGGAATCTGTAATATCCGGAAGATGTCATTGCGCATAAATGACTAATTGGAATAAATCACTAAGGAATGATTGACTTTATAGCGTTGATTTTATAGTCTAGAAAATCATAGCACTTGTGTTGGCAATGTATATCAGAGTAGTTTCGACTTCAGAACCAAACGTCTATAGTCATTTCAACTAAAGAGTCAGAGTAGCTCATTTCAATTATCCATGGGTAAGTACTTCAGTTCCTTTATACCGTGATAAGACTTCCCTCGGGCCTGGAATTGGCTTGTTTTAGTCTTATACGTTCATAAGCATATTCTGGCTTTGGAGCTAACAATAGCATACCCGATTAAGTACGATAAATAATTTGAGTCCACTTGAAGTTTTCTATCGTAGTTTAAAAAGCTTAAAGTTATTATTCCCGTAACGTGTTAATGCCAGTTTAGGATCTCAGATAACTCTGTCTCATTTAGCCTGCTAGTATAACTGTCGTTTGTTTGGTCTTCAATTTAAGCCTTTCCAGACTTGAAAATCAGTTTTGTCATCTCCTTTATTCTATTAATTGCAGTTTACACGTGTTCCTTGTAAATGACGATGTGTTTTTGTCTCCCAGTTATTCTGTTTCTACATGGATCAAACTTCTATAACCGTGGAAAGCAGTCGTAATTATTTCTTACCAGTAAACTGAATTTACGTTCACAAGTTTAGAGAATTCACACCATTGACGAAGTTTTTTACCCACTTTCTCATTCATTTGGTTAATTCCCTGTCGATATACTAATATTAAGTATGGCAACTGCCATTTCGTGAATTATTTATTACTGTTATTTTTTATGTATTTCTCGTACTATTATAAATAGTTCAAAGTTACACTTATGTTTGCTTTATCATATAGCTCGTCGATTAAACATGAAAATTAATTGGAAGTGCCCTGATTGGAAGACTTATACTCTTGATCCCCCTCCTTTGAAAGAGCACGTTGAGAAATTGGCCAAGCTAGGCTTGAAAGATCCATGGGCTCGGTAGGTGTTATAACTTGATGGTTTTTGGAAAGGCTACTATATATTGGATAATTCTTGCCATAGTTGGTCAAAATTAATCACTTTTCTCTATGACACTGTGCTTGGATGATACTTAAAATACCAGAGCTAATGTATTGTGATGAGTGTACTGCATACTGTTATACTGTTGTACACTACTACTTCTCTAATACTATAGGTAACAGTATTGTTTCTATTTCGCTTTTCTTCCTGTTGATTCCTGTGTCTAACAAAAGGCGTTAATTTATAATGGTATACATTCGTAGTGGGTCCCACGTTCTTCATTTGCATTTGTGTTACACCTGGTCATTAATATTTCCTTCCCATTTGCTGTTACATTAATGTGTCGGACTTAAAACTTTAATCCGTTATTACTTTAATTATTTGTTGATTCCATGAATTTGGTACATAGAAATATAATCAATCGATCTGAACGCCTCAAACTCTCTGGACAATAAATATTTCTCCTCCATCTCATATATCTTAATTGCGGTGTACACGTGGTTGAGTGAATGCTCTTATATAATTGTTAGAACTTTATTTAGTGTCTTGTTTGAAGTAGTTAATGAAATGTATCAATGCACTGTTGTTTTCTTCATCTCTTGAGTTTTCATGATCTATGAAATTGTGGAACTAACTACGATATTTAAATCATACACATCATCCCAACCATTACTTTAGATCATACTCCAGTCTAGCTTGCTACACTGAAACAACACAGAAAAAGGAATATATATATGCAAGCGAACAAAAAATGAACACAAGTTAAAATAAGTAGATTTCCACCAGTTGACTTAATTTTTTTCTGAAAAATCAAAATTAGATACATCTTCGAAACTACGACTTTCATTTTTTATATTTCAAACAGTTTGTATTGAAAAGGTAGATGACCAACAACTACATACAATTTTCCAGTTTCAGTTACCAGGATAACGTTTTGGATGTAATTAGTATTTTTTGACCGGCGCCTAAACCTCACGATAATGAACAGTGATTATGAAATATAATCCTCCATTTAATCTCTCAGCTGAGAATTTCGTCTAGTTTCACTTGTACAACAGTGGTATTTAAAAACCAACTACGAAGTGGTCTGGAAGAATTTATTCAAGGTATCCATGGGTAACTAGAAAGACGGTAAAGTTTAATAGATTAATGTAGTATAACTGCTGACTATTGTTAATCAAAAGATAGTTAAGTGTTAGCCATCTTTATATCAGACAAAAAATACCAAATACATGCGAATCGATAGGTGATCGCTCAGCTTGTAAATAAAGATAGGCATGTCTACGCGCGGATGTGTAAAAGCATCCAAAGTTACAAGTGAATATTTCGAAAAGACAAATATATAAGTGTATAGAATAAATTCGCCTAGTCGTTACAAAGAGTCTATGTGCGTCACTAAAAGTACCCTTGATTCTATTTGCTGGAATCAGGAGATCCAAAGTATCGTTTTGGAGTTTACTGTCTATTCCGCACTGAAAAGCAGGTTCGGAATAATGTTTTGTTAAACAGATGGCTTATACTTTCTAATTCTGTTATGCCCTTCGCGACTTCACATAATACCTGAAATCATGAAGAACAACTTGGAAAGTTTCTGAACAACTCTTTCGTTTTCCAATATTTCACATATTAGTCCATAGTCCCAATTCGACCAGTTTTTTGATAATTGTAGTGTTGTGGGTATTTTTTGTCAACAAAAATAATACATTGCCCCAAAGATTTATCGCTTAAAATGTCTTTTCTTTAAAATTTCAGCAATTATGCTTGGCAATATTTACCGAAAATTTACAAACCTCGTTATCAACGGTTTAGAGAAATACTTCTTGCAAGACTACCTCATGGTGTAGCTCTAGGAATTGTAGCCTCGATCCTAATAAATCAATTTGACAGATGGCGTAAAGGCGAATTCAGTGCAGCAAAACATTAACAAGTCATCTTGTTTTGCTTCCCATTCATTGGATTTTTAATTTTCGTTTAAATTAGTGTTAGAACCTTAAGTGTTATGTTCATTGTAAAAGAAAAAAAATAATGACAGAATTCGGAATCTAAAAATATGTAAACGTGACTTACTTGTTCAGTGCTTTGCCTAAATGGGGTGCATTTGGAAATTAAATAAATACCTGTCCGAGTATCATCAGGTTTATTTACTCTCAGTTTCTTTGATTAATTTTAGTTTGAATTGTTTATGATTAAATAATGTGTCGCGTCCAAATGTTAAATGAAATTATAAAATCACAATTATTTAAAAGGAATCTATTTAGTTAGTTGAATCCTTTTAATCATAGAATATGGGTCGAGTTCACTTTTTCGTAAAGCATTCTTTATATTTTATCATTAGGTTGTTTCATTTAATGGAGATGATTGATTTTCAGTTACCTTTGCGGAGTTTTCAGTTCAGATGCACTGCTGCTGATGTGGCAATAGTATAATACTGTCTACGTTAATGCTATTCTGAAGACTACACATTCAGTATTCACGGAAGCGATTTGTTTTGTATTAGAATTTATCATCAGCCGTAAACTGGATTGATGAAAAACTTAGACTTAAAGAATATGAAGGCCTGCATTTGGCGATCATTGGTTCGTTTGAATCCTGGCATCTTTTCTAAGGTAATTTGTACAGCTCAATTATTATAGAGGACACATCTAACATTCCTGGATTATTCTATAGCCTATACTTTCGCATGAACACAGAATAAGCGAATTCGGCAGTTATGACAATCACCAGTTTTGGTTGATGAATGTAACAAATATTGAAATGCCACGTGGTTTTAAGCTACGCGAGATTTGTTAATGAAGACAAAGATGACAATTGTTTACCTCACTAGGTATTGATCCTCAATGGCAAATGTTTTCGTCTTAAATCTACTTAACTTCATTGTAGAAGTGAACATTACATTATTTGGAGCTATCGGTATTTGGTTCCTAAAATTATGTTAAATATAATTGATATGCATTCGTATAAAACTCGACACTACACCTGTTGCGAAGCAGGATTTTATCTGTTTTGTGTTTTAATTAAATTCCATAAAGGGAAATACTTGAGTTTCTGTTTTAACTACTGTTAAGATGTTAGTAGTGTGAACAAATTTATTAGTTTGTAATGAAATTGAATCTAGTAATTATGTGCTTTTACTCTATATAACACGTACTTTAAAGTGTTAAATATCTTCGTAACTGGAAGAAAAACAGTTTATATTATTAAGAAATAACGAATTGAAAATTTTAATTATTTACGTGTTTATTTGAAAAAAACTGTTGTCGAATTTAATTTAATTTGAAATATAGAGATGTCGACTGTTTAATGTTCATATTAAATTGAACTCCAAATCTTGACTAGATAATCACCAAATAATAATTGACAAACGAATAGATAAATATGTGTTATAGGAGGTAATCTATCACTAAGAAAGTGAATATTTTTTTATCATTACAAGCTAAGTACTTGATTAAAACGATTAATCTAAGATAGAAATATAAACTGATGAAAATGATCAAGACAGAATCACTTCTACTTATTAAGTCTAATATTAATGTACTCATGAGTTTCTTTTCTCAGCTTTAAAATCTAATGTATCCTTGTTTACTCTAACTCTCAATGTTTCTTAAATAGGAATAAACAATCGGTAAATTAGTACCATTATAAGGATTAACTGATTGTTAGTTTGAAATATGAGACATTCTTAGTTTAAGAAATCGGTAGTATTCAAAAACTGTTCTTTTTTTGTGATTTCAATGAACTATGATAAGGAAGCTATGGATCAGTGATCTTATTGTCAAATAAACTTACGCGACAAAATCATTGTCCAACAATTGATTGCCTATGAACTTTTTGTTACAGAAGACGAATTATATCTTTGATGAATTTTACACAATCCTCTCCAGTATGCAAAGCTCTGTTTAATTTGACAGGAGAAGAGAAAGAGGCTCTAAAAATACCATGATTTCGAACACGGAATATTTTTCAAACAAATTAAACACTGTAGATTGTTTGTATTTGCAACGTGTTATCTGAAGAAGCGACTTACCCTTGGTCACCGAACACCAGAAATCCAATCTTATTATGATGTTACAAGTGCATTATTATTGGTCATCATTGTCTTGTAATTATGACTTAGTTTTCACGTAATACTGCATCTCCTCACGATGCTCCACTGCCTTGTGGGTCAGACAACTAGGTCAAAGGCTCCGAGTGTGGCCCCCTAAGAAAACCACCTGCTTCGATCTGGGCACCCGGGCAGTATCACAGCCCACACACCAACAGAATGAAATGACGATACTTATGGAAAATACTATACTTTCTTCGATTAACAGTGAAACAATTCACATTATTATTATTATTTACTACGTCATTTATTCACTCTTTTTTATTCCCACTTTATGTATCCTTATTTTTCGACTTATACAGAAGCTCGCCTATGGTGGAAACTCGGTTCAATCTAAATGTTCTCGAGTCACTGCCTGGTTGAAAATTGAATGCTACCACCAAATATGAATACTGAAGCAGTTTTTCTGAAACCACGTGCACCATTCAAACTTGCTGTCTTCAACGTTCGCATACTTATGCAGGTCGGACAACAGATAAGGCTGGCTATGTCTTTGGAAAGTCTTAATATCGATGTCTGCTGCCTATCCGAGACCCGTATTCAAGACTCTGGTGAAGTACTACAAATTCGCTCTCCATCTATCGCTTCAAAGAGCTTGTTTTACGTACGTTTATCCGGGAACTCTGTGGCATCTTCGTCTGATCTTGCTGGCGTTAGTGTCACACGAAGTGCTAGAGCTGAGGCAGCACTAATCGATTTGATCCCCATTAACAGTCGGTTATATGCTGTTAGATTAGAAAGTTCCATCAAATTGAGAAGAAATCGGCGTGAGGAACGATGTCTTTTCGTTATCTCCGCCTATGCCCCGACAGATTGCAGCCGGAATGCAATCAAGGATGAGTTTTACCACCAGTTAACTGTTCTTCTCCAGAAAATGCGTTCGACAGATATTGTAGTACTAGCCGGAGACTTGAATGCTCAGGTCGGGCGTCTAGGCACAGAAGAGAGTCGTTTAGGTGGCCGATGGGGACTTGTTAGTCGCAGGACAGATAACGGGGACCGTCTTCTACAACTGTGCACAGACCACAACCTGTTTCTGGCTAGCAGTAACTTCCGGCACAGTCATCGCCGATGTGCCACCTGGCGTCCTCCCTCTGCATCCCAAGCCTGGACTCAGATTGATCACATCGCGATCAGCTACCGCTGGCGTGGTTGTGTGTAAGACTGCCGCTCCTTTTGGAGTACCTATCTGGACTCTGATCAGGCCCTGGTCTGCGCCAATTTTACCTTACTTTTCAGTGGACAACGAAGTGACCGCCACCAACGGATTGATATTAGCAAATTGGTTGCAACTTCTGTTGCTAGTAAGTATCGAACCGAGCTAGTTTCTAGGCTAGCTACCATTCCACCGAAAAGTATAGATGAGCATTGGTTGCAACTGCATGACGCCATGAAAATGACAAGTAAATTCACTTACAACTCATCGAAGCCTGTCGGTCTACTCCGGGTGACTGTGAGTTTGGCCACAAGCAAAGGCCGTTACGTAATGCAATTGGGCAAAGCTTGCGTAAGGACCGAGAAGCTTGGTGGTCGATGCGTGCTAATGAGCTGGAAGTAGCAGCTGCATCTGGTAACTCCCGGAAGCTCTTCCAACTCACGCGGGCCACTGGCAGCAAGAAGTCTGGTGTGAGCGAGACAATCTGCGAGGACGACGGGATGCCAATCACCAACAGCCATCGACGTCTTCAACGATGGGCAGAATTCTTCGAAGGGCAGTTCAGCTGACCTGCTGCTCCGGCCACATCGGTCAGACTGTCCTGCCCTCCATGGCCGGTGACGACTGATCCACCAAACGAGGAGAAAGTCCGTAAGGAACTCCAACTCTTGAAGCGTTACAAATCACCTGGCCCAGATGATTTACCTCCGGCTCTTTTTAAAGATGGTGGTGACTTTCTGACTAAGGAATTGACGACGTTGTTTACAAAGGTTTGGGATCTAGAGAGTGTACCAACGTCATGGAATGAGTCGATAGTTGTCCCTATCTTTAAAAAGGGTTCACGTCGTTCTTGTAACAACTATCGGGGGATAAGTTCACTTCCGATTGCGTCGAAGCTGTTGACTTCTGTCAAAAATTTGAAGGTTGTTCAAACCCCGAGAAAGATTGACTCGCGAGGAGCAGGCTGGGTTTCGTTCTGGTCGAGGATGTATTGATCATATCTTCACCCTCTGCCAAATGTTAGAACACCGCCATACTTATCAAAGGCCAACAATCGTAGTGTTTCTTGACATCAGGGCTGCCTTCGATTCGTTGAATAGGACTGTTCTCTGGGATTGTCTGTTGAAGAAGAGTGTGCCTGAGAAGTTTATTAACATCCTAAAAGCCTTATATACAAACACCTCAGGTAGAGTGAGGGCATACAACCACCTCTCTCCATTGTTCCATTCGAGCAGTGGGGTTAGGCAGGGTTGCCCAATCTCACCATTCCTCTTCAACTTTGCCATCGATGACATTCTGGAAACAGCTCTGATGGATGTAAGTAATGGTGGTGTGGATCTGTTGCTTGGAGAAAAACTTCTCGACCTTTAGTATGTGGATGATATTGTCTTACTATGCGATAATGCCCAAGGCATGCAATCTGCACTTAATCAGTTGGCAATCAGTGTCCGTAGGTATAGTATGTGTATGAAGCAATTTCCTACAGGTGTAACTAAGCTATTATCTAGACCATCGAACACAGAGTCTTGGTTTAGCCAAAGTCAGAACAAGTAAGCTATTTGGCTTGATAAACTTTATCTGTTTCTAAAACATAAATTAACACCATTAGTATACAAAATAAACAATACAGTCTGTCAACAAAGGGAAAAACAGAGACATAAATAACATACGGAACAGTAGCTAGAGGATAGGGAAAATGAGTCAACAAGGCAAATATTGTTTTATAATGAACATAAAATTGTGATTGTTGAATAAACAAGACTTAGTCATACAAGGTCAAAGAAAGTTAATGTGGTGGTGGTGGGCGTCTCACTTTATCATTGGTGAGTCCGTTTATTGATCACACCTTACAGTATGTGCTTCGCACCTTCAAATTGCGAAGTACTTCTCCAAGACTGGCAGGATCCTAATCCTGTACTCACCCTGGATGGTGAGCAGATAGAAGTAGTCGAGAAGTTCGTGTTTCTAGGTAGCTGGTGGTGGTGTGAGTGATGAGATCAATGCACGTATAGTGAAAGGCAGAGTGGCTTATGCCAACCTAGGCCATCTATGGCGCCTTCGTGATGTTAGTCTGGCTGCGAAAGGTCGGATCTACAACGCGTCGGTGAGAGCAGTTTTGCTCTATGCTTGTGAAACCGGGCCTCTCCGAGTTGAGGACGTTAGACGACTCTCTGTGTTTGATCATCGCTGTCTCCGAAGGATTGCTGACATCCAGTGGCAAAACCATGTTAGTAATGCGGAGGTTCGGCATCGTGTGTTTGGGCGCAGAGACGATAATTCAATTGGTGTCACGATCTTTAAACATCGACTGCGATGGCTTGGACATGTTCTCCGAATGTCGTCCCAGAGGATTCCACGTCGTGCATTATTTACCGACTCTGGGACTGGTTGTAAGAAGAGGAGAGGTGGTCAATGTGTGACATGGTGTCGTGGTATGAAAGAAAGTTGCAAAGGGCCGGCTTCTGCTGGTCCTTCACGACTCCCTAGCGGGGTCCGCGGGATGGTGCAACACAGTGGCTAGAGACGTTATCAGATATGGCTCAGAATAGAAGCCAGTGGCGATCCTGCCGTAACCTTCTTTTACTTTCTGTATAAAAAGTGGTTGTATCTCCCTTAACTGAAAGAATTTTTGTTGTACCTTTCCGTTTCCCCCATTATTATTATTATTATTATTATTATTATTATTATTATTATTATTATTATTATCACACTACCTAGCGCTAATCTATGGTCGTTATTGTTCTTTTTTTCTTATATACTCCTTACATTTTTCCCTTCCCATTCTCGTTGTTTTGCGTGGCGCATATATATTTGGTGCCCCCTTGTACCAATATTTATGTGTTCGAATAAATAAATAAATTCGGGTAATACATTTAAGAGACTTTTAAATAATTCCTAATGAAGCTTATTTCAGATTGTGCGTGTCCTTCATTAATCAGGAATGGTTTATTTTTCATGCACTTTATGATTATTGGTACAAAGTCCCTGTCTGATCACCACCCAAATAAACCGTACTTGTCAACCATAAGTTTGTTCTTATTGAAATTTCCGTCATTCATTTGCATCCATCACAACTTTATATTGGAATTTCAGAGTGGTCTACTGGCTGCTAATATTCCACCTCTATTCATAATTTGGCATTTGCATGTGGAGAAAGGTAAACAACTTATCGCTAATTCATTTACACAACAAATTTGTTAATATTTTAAGTCATACCTCTGTATAACTTGAACGTGAATCCTTATTATAGTTACGTTGATTTTTTATTATAACTTTGATATATGTATTTTTGGTCTCGTTCACCTTATTATCAGTCGTTTTTGCCACTTTTCACCACAGCTTAATACAGGCTGAAATCCACCGATTTAAACACAAACATCTAGCCAGTTCGCCGGACGAAATAATGTTAATTGCGGTTTTAGTAGTAATATTTCGACTTAAGTTTAATAATTGTCCGTACTTACCAATAAAACATTTACCTTTAAAGTTCTTCGGACGAATTTTTTAGTGACTAGTAAATGTTTAAAATCAAAGACAAGACCTTGTGTTTTCGATCAGATCGTGGATTTCTTGGTTTGACTAATGAAGTGGCAACAGGTAAGTTCTGATCAATTGGTTTCAGTTAACACTCATGGTTTGAGCCCATAGGTCGCTAACTAGTAGGTAAAGTTTTGCTTTACAGTGGAGCATTTACAGATTCTATAGCTATGATTTACATACTCTTACAAGTTTTTTCTCATTTATCCACAAACATTATACTTCCATTTTTCCTTTCAACAATGAAATAGAACAACTCTTGTATAATATTGTGGAATGGAATTCTTGAAAAGTTAACTAATCCGAATAGTCTTTAGAATAAAATAACACTATTCATTTACATATACTCGTGAAACACAAACTTTGTCAGTTCGTTGCCAGAAAAAAACCACTATTTTCTGTGGCTTGAAACTATGCTAAAATTGAAACTGCTTTCTTTCTTAAAATCCATATTCATCCTAATGAACTTTTTCTGCGTCTGACATCTAGAGTTGTTTAATTCAATTTTCTCTGGAGTCCATACGAACCATTAAAAAATTATTTAGTATAAAGCTGGAAAAATTCATCTCTGCATAGAAATTGCTTGTTTTATGGGAAAGAAAACTAGTTTTACCCTTAAAATTTTTATGGTTGTATGTTTTGACTTATCAAGTACTCTATTCTTTAATGTGTATGTATGAGCATTTGTTTCAATCACCTATACACTTCTTTATATTCCCTCATCTGACCTTAATGGACAGATGTGTGAAATTTCCCCATAGATATTTAGTCAACAGAAAGAAGATAATAAAACATTATGGTTTACGTATAAATTTTTTTCAGTCTTATTTACCATTATAATTAGGTCAAAACTAGTGTGTGTGGAAAAAGTGGAGGCGAGAAAACTGAAAAAAATTCATAAACTAGAACGTTAAAAATGACCTCTTGTATGTGTATTTATGTATCAGATACATCGTATGTTTATATTGATGTAAGTATATATGTTTAGGTATGTGGATATTTATTTGTAATATCCATCCCACCATTTACAAATAACATAAAGGATGAAACATACAGAAGATCATATTAAAAGTATATTACAAGAGGAACGCACCCATTTCTTCTTTACACTCGTCATCAATACCAGACTACCAGCTCACAAAATGGAATAAGGTTTTTGCGTCTTAGTGAAATTATATTTTCCGGAAAATAATATTCCTGTTTAGATCTGTTAAAGGAACCAATATTCTCACACCATATAATCAATAAATTCCAGTTATTTCAATGGTAAACTTGGATTTTTTCATATTCTAGTCAAATCCTAGCATTCGTTAATTCAATTCCAAAACCAATGACCCGATAAGTGACACGTTTCAGGTACTACTCAATCGTAAGTTACAGGTTGGTGCACTCGGTTATGGGGTATATTTATTGTGTAATAATTGATGATAATATTCAGCTGCTAAACCGTATTCGTTACAGTGTAATTTAAACATAATTCTCAAGATTTATGTTTAAAATGTTCTACAATTATCTTTTTACCCTTAAGCACTATATAAGCGTTATAACCTTGTAATCCGTATTTCTTTTTTAACTTTGTTCCGCTCTCCTATCGGTTATGTTGTCCTTGAATATTTAGTTATGATCTGATATACAAGGTCTGTTACATATTTTGTATATAAATATACTGTATAACAAAGACGTCTTTCCTCAAGACCTTGTGAGGGCTCTTTACTCGAACACTAGCAGTCGAGTCAGAGGTTATGACGAAACGTCATCTGATTTTGCAACCTCAAGTGGTGTCCGGAAAGACTGTCCACTATCTCCATTTAATACCGTTGGGTGCCGGCTCAGTGGCCTAGTTGATTAAGCGCCTGGCGCGAGACTGATAGGTCCTGGGTTTGAATTCCGCTGGGTGCGGGGTCGTGGATGCGCACTGCTGAGGAGTCCCATACTAGGACGAAACGGTCGTCCAGTGCTTCCAGGTTTTTCATGGTGGTCTAGCTTCTATTGACTCATGATTTCAGCAAGTGAACCTTCTTAAAATCTCCACAAAACCCATTCTGATCTCCATTTTTGTTCAACTTCATCATAGACCTACTGCCGAAAATAACGCTATCATCGTCCGAATTTTCGGTAATTGATCTACTTATTGTTTCGGGATTCACAGATGACCCGGTCCTGTTTGGTGAAGATGCTGATAAAATTCAGAGTTGTTTGTTAGCACTGAACAATAATGCTGGAATGTTTGGGATGCGTTTCTTCCCCTCTAAATGCACATTGTTGCTTCAGGACTGGCCTGGACTAAGGATAGGAAGTGAAGTAGTCGAACCCGTCCATAACTTCATTTATCTTGGAAGTCTTGTCAGTTCTAATGAATTGGTATCTGACGAAATCTCTACACGGATTCAAAAAGTTCGTTTGGTTTTTGCCAACTTACATCACTTATGGCGAAGGTGAGATATTTGTCTATCAATTAAGGGACGAGTATACTGCTCAGCGGTTCGTCCCGTTTTACTTTACGGCTGCGAAATGTGGCCATTAAGAGTATACATTTCTACGAACTGATTCTTTCTCCCTGTATCATAGCCTTATATAAAAATCCTTTTTTTTACTACCATAACAGCAACTGCTTCTATGATTTTAGTGATCGTCTTGTTGTGTTAATGAGGTATGGCAACTTGGACCGATGCATGTACATGCCTGGTCCTACGTTATAGATGACTGACTGATGAACGACTCAAGACAGCGAAAAAACCATCCTATAAAACAATATAGTTAAGGATGATTTTAGTTGGGAAAGCAGTATATATAGAATAAAACTTAGATGGCTATGTCGGTGTCTTAAACCCCTCGTTCATACTACATAAACTTTACGTTCCTCATAGTAAATGTTTAAAACTGTTATTTCACTGAACTATTTTCAAGTTAGAAACAGTTAAATGTACTTTAGAACAGGCACAAAACATTTCATTTTGACATCATAATGATATATACAATGCAATAGTTCTGAAACATCTTAGACATTTGGTTCCCTTGATGAATTTGAACAAAGAAAGAATAACATGTTCTAAAACAATTTAAAATCTTGTTGACGTCAGTCAATAGTATTTTCTGGTAGTACTGACAGATGTTATAATAATACATGAAGTTGAAGCTATTAGTCACGAAACTATTTCGAGAAAATGAAGAAGTGTGGTTTTGCCCTTATAACATAATAATTGACTGATAGGACTTCGATATGATTGAGATTACTGAGTTGACAATGTCACCCGTCAGGGCTAATCTTGAATTCTAATAAAATCGATTTTTTTAATAGATAAATTAAAAAGTCGACAGACAGCACTAAATTAGTGCTTTCTATTCACAACATTCAACTAAACTAGTGATTATGATCCAATCATTGATTAACAAACAGATAGTCAAAAGTAAAACTGAAGGTCATTACGTAATAAGTACCACTTCGTCTCTGCCTCCCAAAGTCTAATAATTAGAGACTTTCGAAACTTACAGATCCATTTTACATTTGCTTACGCCTGTTACCACTCGTGGAGGAGCATAGGTCGCTCATCAGGATTCTCCAGTGAACTCTGTCCTGAGCAATCCTTTTCAGTCATTTCTAGTTGCCATTCATCATTTTGATGTCTGCTTCCAATTATCAACTCAGTGTATTCTTTGGCCTTCCTTTTTTCCGTTCCCTTCAGGACTCCAAATTAGCTCTTGCCTCATGATTCAGTTTGATGAGTTCCTCAGTATATATCCTATCCGCCTTCGTTGTCTTTTCCTAATTTCCTCTTCATCTGGAAGTTGGTTTGTTCTCTCCCACATTAGGCAGTTGCTGATGGTATCCGGTCAACAGACCTTGAGTATCTTGCGTAGACAATTGTTGATAAATACTTGTACATTTTCGATATTCGTATTAAAGATTGACAGTTGTTGTGAATTCCATATGTTGTTCAACTGTAGGAATGCTGTTTGGCTTTACCGATGCTTGCCTTAACATCTGCGTCAGATCCCCCTTGTTCATCAATGATGATGCGGAAGTTTCGAGCTCTTCCTGAGCTTTCCCATCAAATGCGATTGGGTTGTTCTCCTTGTTGTATTTGAGTATCTTTGTTTTCTCATTGTGTATGTTGAGGCCTACTGCTGTAGAGACTGCTGCTACACTGGCTGTTTTCACTTACATTTGA